AATACGCAGTCGCCACAGAATAGTTTCCCAACAGCACAACAGACCGTCTTTACGATTCATCCTTCTCATGTTCAGCCAGCATATACCAATCCACCCCACATGGCCCACGTACCTCAGGTAAACCAGCTTTAGCCAACTTCCTGTGAAGACCAAGTAGAATGTGAAGGTTATCAGATAAGTAGCTGAAAGCCAAGTGTTCTCCTAGCTAGGAAACCCTGTGTGTGATGCCATCTGCCTGTCTCCTTTCCCTGCTCAAATACACGTGATCTGGCCCTAAATGAATGTTTGTGTGGTTTTGTAATGGGATCAGTGAAGTTGGTGATTGGTCAGTCCTTTAATGTTCCCCCAGTAAGACCTTAAAAATATCTTTGACTCTGGAATGCAACCCAGTCCTCCTTTCCTTCCTGTGTCTGCTTTGCTATGTCTACATAGCTTCATTACTATATATGTGTGCATATATATACACACACCCTTTTACACACATACACGGAAGCCTGGCAGGGATGGACCTTCACAGTTTCTCAGCTCTCTGAGCTAACTATCCTAGGCCTGTCAGCTTCAATGTTAGTTACATGAGTTCCAGAGAAAATCTCTCCAATTGTTTTCCCTGGTTATTCATACATCTGCTTTGATCTTATGTTGTACTTATTGAGAGGGGTTGGCCTTGTACATTGGTACAGTGTAACTAGAAGCTTGAAGCACCCAGGTGTTCCCATTTTTCTTAAAGAGCACCCCTAGAAGCACTTCGGAGCTCACCTCCAGTGTATGCTTCTAAAGGTTGAAAGGTGTGGTTGCCATTTCAGTGGTTGCTGTCTGCATCAGCTGCTGACAAAGGTCCAATGCAATCCAGGGCCAAGTTGGATTGTCTAAATGAGGAGAAGGAGCTGCACTGAAGTTGGGCTCTAATGCTGTCTTTGAGGCCCTCCCTTGGGGCTGTTAAGGGTGACTTGGCTGTATTAGATGTCTTTTTCTGCTACTTTCATAACAGAACTCTCTTAGGCAGGTCTGAATGAGACCTGCCATACTTGAGTTCCATTTCCTGTCAAATAGTGTGCCAGTGAGGCTCTGGCAAGGTGTGGGCTAGATTTGTAACTTAGTTGGATCTATCTATTTGAAGGCTACCTTGTAATTAAGGTTCCACAGCTCTGGGATGTTTAGGTGTCATCACCCTGTAAAGGTTAGGTTCTGTGGTGTAGCGCACTGCAGTTGATTTGCTTCTGATAGTGGGGAGGGAAGCCGGTTTGGTCAGTGTGGGCCAGCGTGGTTCGGTGGAATCAGCTTCATAAGAGTTGGGGTCCTGTAGATGTCTAGCAGAGGCTGGTGGCTAAGTAGGTATGTGAACTTACATGTAAGTTGGGCTCCCTAAAACCTCATTGCGTTTTTGTGTTGAAAGAGCAAAAAGGTTAACACAGGAAAGCCCAAATATGCCCTGGGCCCATTGGAATACATAAGAGTTAAAATAGCATGTCATTCAAGGATTATCATAGTTTAGAAGAGTATACAGTTTGGGAGGCAGGAAACAAGAGCTCTTCCTGGCCCTGCTGAACGCCTGCAGAGCTGGGATCCAACTATTTGGACTGACTAAAATCACCTTTCCAACTCGACAGAGATCAGGCCAAACTCACTATCAACTTGGTACAAGGACACTGGGCTGGCCCAGATAATTTCCAATTACTCCTTTCATCTCATTGGAGCCATTAATTGCAACCTCCTCCATTGTATCTTTCTAGAGAATAAAGGGGCCCCAAAAGTCTCTTCTTTCTGCTGAGCAGGCCAAAAGCAGAGGGAGGAGGGTGAACAAGGAGAGGTCTTAGTAACCCATACAATGGAATTTGACAGTTCCTGCTTATATAATAATCTGCTTTTCTATTTGAAAGGAACATTATCTGTAAAAGTACCTCAGGCCCCACATAGAAGCCAGATTCTGAAGCATCATCCCATCTGTGTCATTATTAAATTGAGAGAGCTGCCCTTGGATCAGGGGTCTCATCCTTGTGAAGACCTTGCTGTATACATTAAATATAATAATCAGAAAGTTGATGTCTAGGACATTGTAGGCCCTGACTTTTACCAGGCTCACTTAGTGCCTGTTCCTCTAGCCTTGCAGGATCTGCCAAAAAGTGAAACATGCCTGTAGGACAATTGATGATCTACTAGAGAGTATCCCCAGAAGATAGAACTGGGCCGTGAGGCCCATGTTGCCCTGTCTTGAGAGTCCTGGCCCAGTGAAAGGAACACAGTTGACTTGTTGTTTAAGCTGGAGATGTTGCCTGTATGCGTAAAAGAGCTCTCTGTTTCAGGCTCATGTACAGTCAGGAATGGTTCCTTCTCATCCAACTGCCCATGCGCCAATGATGCTAATGACGACACAGCCACCCGGCGGTCCCCAGGCCGCCCTCGCTCAAAGTGCACTACAGCCCATTCCAGTCTCGACAACAGCGCATTTCCCCTATATGACGCACCCTTCAGGTGAGGCGTGTGTGTGCAGGGGCCGCCGGGGCACCCAAAGCATTCTGCTCGCACAGGTCACTTGGTAGGCAGGGTCAGCACTTCAAGCCCCAAATTTGAGAACTAGCAAGACGCATCCAAGAGTGCTGCACAGGAGGGACTGTGACAATAGTTCAGAGCCAGGGTGTGAGGCTTCCAGGAGCCGAGTCTGTGTGTGTTCTGATGGTATACAGGATTTGGCTTGATGAGAAGCATTTTGTGTAGCTGATGCATGCCTAGGACTCAGTTGGCCTTCCTTGTTATGATAGTCTGGACAGGGCAGTGTTTTCCTGAGTCCCAATAGTCTGATATATGGGGGGTTATTACCATGGCAGAGTGATTGTAGCTCTGGAGAAGACTACTGCTGAGCAAGTGCTGTGTATGGACTGGCTTTTAGTGTAGTATCAGCTCCAGCCTATGCCCTGACAGGGAGAGAGCGCCTGTGATTGTGCTCTAATACTTGATGGCTGCCATGGTGAAATTTCATAGTCTGACCTGTTATTTTGAAAGTAATACTGGTGCTTGGCTAATATTTGGGGAGGGGGTATGTTAAGGCCTTTTCTACCCCATGAGGAACAAGTCTTCTAAGAGTTTTATCTGAAGTGGTTTTATGTCTGACTGGTTTGTTTCTACCCACCCACCTACCCCCTCCCGCTCTTGGTACAGATGGGAACTGGGAAAAGTGAATTAAATTTTGAGTCTTGTTCAGCTAGCACAAGGATAGTTTACAGCCATGTACTGCAGAAACACTAGGCTATGTGTGGTGTTGCCAGTTTTCTGTTTAAATATTCACTTTTCTTTTTTACAGTACAAGCCCACCACCAACAGCAGTTGTAAGGCTGCCCTGGAGGAACCGAAAGGCCAAATTCCCTCCTCCCTTCTACTGCTTCTACCAACTGGAAGCACAGAAAACTAGAATTTCATTTATTTTGTTTTTAAAAAATATATGTTGATTTCTTGTAACATCCAATAGGAATGTTAACAGTTCACTTGCAGTGGAAGATATTTGGACCGAGTAGAGGAGGCATTTAGGAACTTGTGGGCTATTCCATAATTCCATACGCTGATTCAAAGTCCCGCAAGTAACCCAACTCTGCTTGCTGAAACTGGAAGTTATTTATTTTTTAATGACCCTTGAAAGTCATGAACACATCAGCTAGCAACAGAAGTAACAAGAGTGATTCTTGCTGCTATTACTGCAAAAAAAAAAAAAAAAAAAAAATCAAGACTTGGAACAACACCCTTTTACTAAACTTGACAAAGGTTCGGTAAATTCTTAACGTCAAACTGACGGATTATTATTTATAAATCAAGTTTGATGATGTGATCACTGTCTACAGTGGTCAACTTTTAAGTTAAGGGAAAAACTTTTACTTTGTAGATAATATAAAATAAAAACATAAAAAAAATTAAAAAATAAAAAAAGTTTTAAAAACTGATAAAGTTAGTGTGTGTTTGTATAAGCTACTTCTGTTATAAGATATTTAACATCATGACAGGCAGGCTGAGCGTGTTTTTGTATTATCCTGGAAGGTATTTGTCAAATTATTTTTCTTCTTCACCTTTAGTTCTGGTTCAAGGTTATCTCTAGAAAAAGACAAGACTGAAATATTCCCTTTGGTGGATTAGAGGTCTGCTTCAGGAGGAGGAAGGCTGGCCAAGATTGGGCAGCACTGAAATCCCACGTCCTCAGGCTGACACCAATTCTGTAAGCTTCCTTTTTAATATCTCCTGAACCAAAATGCTTGTCATTAGTTGGCAATTGTCCCAATTCAGGCACCTGTTTACCCAGTAGGGGGCAGGAGACACTTTTAACTGCAATAAATCCAAAGGGCAGAAAGGCTGAACAGATGTACAAAGTAGCTTGCAGACTGAGAGGCATTCATTAATGTTCCCAAATTGTAGGTAAAGGACAAAGGGAGAACAAACATTTGAGTATTAAAGAGTCTTTTTTTTGAGACAAGAGTCTCACTTTGTAGCCCTCTATAGAATGCTGTGGCGTCACAACTTACGGTAACCTCAAACTTTTGTGCTTAAGCAATTCTCTTGCCTCAGCTTCCCAAGTAGCTGGGACTACAGGTGCCCTCCACAAATGCCCAGCTGTTTTTTGTTGTTGTTGTTGCAGTTGTCATTGATGTTTAGCTGGCCCAGGCTGGGTTCGAATCCACCACCCTCAGTGCATGTGGTCGGCACCCTGAGACCATAGTCTTTTTTTTTTTTTGGTAGAGACAGAGTCTCACTTTATCACCCTTGGTAAGGTACCGTGGCATCACACAGCTCATAGCAACCTCCAACTCCTGGGCTTAGGTGATTCTCTTGCCTCAGCCTCCCAAGTAGCTGTGACTACAGGCGCCCGCCACAACGCCTTGCTATTTTTTGGTTGCAGTTTGGCCGGGGCCAGGTTTGAACCCACCACCTTTGGTATATGGGGTTGGTGTCCTACTCACTGAGCCACAGGCGCTGCCCTACGAGACAATAGTATTAATAGAGCCTTTAAATATTGTGGCAACAAATCAAGATTCTGAAAACCTTTAATTCACATATAGCATTTTATACATTATAGCAAAATTTGCATTATTTAAGAATAAGTTACTTGTACAGTACATAAACAATACATAAAAAATTGCCAAATACCTTCTGCCTATGATACAAGATGAATCCACCTTTTGTTACCACAATGTGCTGTGTATTTCAACTAAACACTGGATGTCAGATGTGTCCTTGTTAAGACTCAGTGGATAATCTACCAAGTTCCTCTAGCCTATGGGAGATGTTAGAGCTAACATGACATTTGCAACAAGAGACTTTAGCCCTGAATAAAAAGCATGAAGGAACCTCAGGCAACTCTCAGAAGAGTTTGAGGCCTTGATTTTAGGTTAAGAAACTTATGTAAAAATAGTGTTCTCTGGCCCAAGATTTTAATGATCACTATTCCTTTTTCCTATATGGTCCAGAAATGATCAAAGGCAGAAGACCTATACCAGATAAAGCCATATGGATTGCTGGTCTAAAATTCAAGGCAGGTTAGTTGACTTAATTCTTTGGTGCTGGTGACTGTTAGTTTGTAAAAGTTTAACAAAGTCAGATGAAGAGAGATGGTGCTGGAAACTGTCAAGCTATACTTGTCTGTAATTAGAGCTAACTGGAGGGATTATGATGCCTAGTACCTAGTTTGGCACCGAGGCCTGGCCCCATCAGAACTGGGAGGAGAGTGGTGGAATGTGCTGTGCCTCTGAGGGGCTACCTGTGGCCAAAGGGTTCTGCCCCACACTGCTGCCACCCCTTCCTCGGCTAGGCCTGCTCTGAAAACACAAAGAACAGGCATTGGTTTAGTGTCACTTCCTCCCAGGGCCATGAGGGGGCTTTCTGTCATCATGTATTTGCACTGTCCTGGTAACTTGTTTAGAAAGGAAGCAGTATGGAGGTGGGTGACTTCCAGTCTTCTGCCATGGAATCCAAGCTTGTACTTGGCAACTAGTGGGTAGAACTGCTAAATTTGATGTACCTGGTGTGCCTTTGGCACTACCTGAGAGAGAAATGTTGAGAGGCTGCTAAGAAAATGCATTCCCCTGGCTTGAAGATGCTATGTCGCAGATGTTGAAACTTTTGGCTAGAGGGCAGGAATTTAATTGGTTCATCATTTACTTGGCCAAGAAAATCTGGACCAATTATTCATCAGCATTGACTTTCTATGATGAGCGTTCTTTTCTAAAAAAGAGATCCAGAACGTTACTTCTTTGGTTCATACTACTTAGCATTCATTTTCTAGAGGAATCAGCTTTAGAGAAAATAAAGACAGGTGGCCTTAAAAATGGACCACAAACTGGATCAGTGTCAGAGCTACTTTATGGTTCATAAAGTTTAAAAGTGGTACAGAGGTGGGTGATTCCCCACCTCCTCCCAAAAAGCCTGGAAAATTCTAGAAGCAAAAGTGTGACTTCTTGGGAGTATAATTAGGGGAACAGGCCAGGCTTTCTCCCCAGGTAAGGCAGGCAGTACTGTTACCTTTAGGCCCATGTTTCATCTTGGTCTGTGATATACATGTGAATGTTAAACCATACTAAACTCCCGAGTTTCCTAGAAACCACTATAGGGAGCCTGATGGCTGGGCTATACTGAATGGCTCTGTTGGCACCCAGGGGCAACTGAGTCCACTCTTGTCACTGCCTTGTCTTGTTTCTAAGCTTCTACATGAAGGTTCTGGGAGGAGCCAGCCCCCCTATGAATTGTATCACTTGGTGAAAGGCAAGTATAGATGGAGATTTGACTTTAGGACCTCCCTTGATGGGGGAGACTGTGAGTGCTCATGTGTTCATGGACACAAATGAAGTAGTAACCAGCTGGAACAGAACACTGATTGTGGGCTATTAAAAGAATTTCTGATTAGCTATGGCAGCAGATCCCTGGCTTCCATTTTGGCTCAAAAATGAACCTAAAACCCACTTGTGGGATAATTTAATAAGCCATTAGATGTCTGAAAGGCCCTGTTGCTGAAGGATTTACTTACTAGAAAGGGCCCAGGAGCCCCCTCTTCCCTTTTTGTTCATCCCGCCCCCAAACTCCAGTTAATTTAACTCTCGCTGTAAAGCTGCTGTAAACCACAATCTATGTTTTTATTCATAAGGCACCAGGATAGGACTGTTCCTTGCCACCCTCCTATCTCAGTAATAGCTTGAATTTCCCTGAAAGGATGGCACACTTCATTACATTGAGGAAAGATAGTGGCTCCTCAGCAGGTGACTGTCCCCAAGGATGCAACAGACAAGGAAGCCAGGCATCCTGGCTAAGACTATGAACCAGTCCGGTAGGGTTTGCATAGCTGTCTGACTACAAAAATCTCATGGGTAACAGTGCAATGAAAGAAGCAATGGTTTAGTTTTGAAACCTGAATCCTTTAAAAAAATTAATCTGAGGTAAAATGTTTAAAATCATTTTTGACCTTTAGCCTTTGTCCCTCTGACAGTTTTTGTCCTAAAGCTAAGAGTAGAAGAAGGATTAGGTGTGGTCATCTATGGCAAGGATACAGCAGCCCTGCCATGTGGACTGAAGCTATAATGGGAACACTGTGTGAGAATCCAGGGCTTGTTAGTGTTTTGGGCTTGCTGGTGACCCCTCCCCTTCCCGTAGAAAGTCTGTCATCAGCTGTGACAGTGTCAGTGAAAAAGAGAACAAGTGTCCACTGCCAGGTCCAGGCCTCACCCCACCCTTTCCTCTAAGAGTGATGGGGCTCTGGTCTTAGGGACACAGGGCAGGAGCTAGCGCACATCGGCAAACAAGAACTACATCTGTAAACAATGAGAAAGCCAGGTGCTGGGTGAAACTTACAGGAGGCCCTTTAACAGGCCTAATAGAAGGGTCACATCCAAACTGGAACAAGCAGTTAACAGTGTCCCTTAAATCTCTCTCTGGAAGGAAGGAAAGATTACATTCACATCTCTGCTTAGGCTCCTCCGGGCAACTGTTGAGGCCTGGGACTCCACCCTGATCAGAGAGGTGTATATTGATTGTCTATGGCCCGCAGGTGGCTCCGAGATGATGAGTCCATTTCATAGTCTGAGTCCCAGGCTCGATGCTCAGGCTCCGGCTCCAGGTGCCGCAGGCTGTTGGCCAGTTCCTCGGGTGAAGGCACCAGGTGGAAAATCTGCTCTGGCGGTGAGGATCGGCCTGGGAGACCCTCTGGGCTGAGCCCCCGGGGACAGCCAGAAGAGCTAAGGTTGGGAAGGCCCAACTCTGAATCCCAACGAGGGAGGGAGAGAGGGAACAAGACAGTGTTGCAGGAACCTGGGACAAGTGACCAAGAAGAGAAACCACACTGTCAGTCTTGCTGCAGCTGCTGACAGGACACAAGATTAGATCTCTATACCCCTTGGTCTGCAACAAGCTTTTTTTTTAACCTTCCACCCAGTTTACCTGTGCCAGCCACCCCCTTTACAGAAGATCATTAGGGTCACACCTGGTGGCTGGGAGACAACTACCACATAGCTGGAAAGTCGGACATCACAGGCAGCGCCGCATTCGAGCGGGATGGGTGAGCGCTGGAAGTGGTGTAGCATGTCCACAATGGAGGGAAAGTGGAGGTGCTGTACTCGGCACTGGCCTCGCTCAGTCAGTGACAGGCGCAGGTGCTGCAAGAGATAACAGTAGACTCAGATTGTCCCCCAAGGGCCCTGAACTCTAGTAGGGAGGGGTTGGCACAGCCCTGCCCCATACCTTAGCTATGCCCTGGAAGTTGAATGTGAGTACATACTCCCCACGCCGGGTCTCACTCTGCCGCACGAGGAACACTCCATGAGCATCAGGACCCTGCAGCTGAACCAGCTGAGCTGCCTTCACTCTGGAGATGGGGCCATGGAACCAGGGGTAGCAGGACAGGAAATGATCTGTTTTCTGGCAGGATGGGTCCAACAGCCCCCCAGGAGAAGCACCTGGTAGAGAAGATGGATGGTGATACCATGTGGGTGCCTTATGTCTAGACTCAGTTCCACTTTACCTAGAGAACAGTGAACTGGCCACTCACCTTGGTTCAGGGAATCTGTGCTGCCCCTTGGGGAGCTGGATGTGCTGGGTTCCAGGACTGAGGGAATGTGCATCTCTGCATCTATGCTCTCCAGCCTGCTGGAGAAGAGCCTGGAGTTAAGGATCTGGGCAGGTCAAGGGTAGCCAAAAAGGCTGTGCCAGGGGTGAGGGCCTCACCCTCGGCCTGTGCACTCCCGGAGCTCAGCCATCCATGAATTCAGCTGCTGCTCGTCTCCCACCTCAAAGATGATGTCTGTCCGGTCCTTCACCTGGCAGAAAGGGAACAGCTGTGTGGGTCTGAGGGGCGTGTGTGTGTCTATTAGCCCAGGCTGTGGCGAGCCCTATCACTTACCTTCAACACAAATGTGTAGAGGTTGTCAGGCATCTCCAGCCGTGTGCATTGGCGAACCTCCTGAATGCTGGAGCAGACTGCCTGAAGCTTGGGCCTCGAACTCTACAAGACAAGAGGGACACTCAGGCTTATCCTGAAGTTCTTCTCCCACCCCACCTTAGTTTGTCTGCAGTCTCCCCAAGACTCCCCTGCAGAGTGAATGTTCACCATGCTGTTGCAACAGCCCTGCTGAGCCTAAAGTGAAGCCCCAGAATGCCTTTAACCTGTGACCTCTTAAGCACCATCCACAGAGATCCCAAGAAGCCTTGCTGGCTCCCAGCCCCAGCACCTGTGGACAGTCCAGCTTTCCACATGTGCTTGCCTGACATCTGTTTCTCTTACCACTGGCAGAGAAGGGAACTCCCCAGCCAGGTGACTGTAGGTACTGACCCCTACATTACTTCAAGCCAAAGGGCAAAGCCTAGGGTGACTGGCCCAAGTTACTGTCAGCCATAAAACCGCACAACCTTGGCCCCAAAATCTCCTATGACACCCCAAACACAAGGCTGCAGAGTGTAGCTTTCTTCTCCTCTGCCGGCAGAGGCATCTCTTCAGATCGCTACTGAACGCAACTGGAGTGGGGGCTAGCCCTGCTGATGCTTCTTGTTCTGGGGCCAGTTTCTTCTGGGCAGGAATTTTCTTAAAAAAGGGTTTACACCCCCCAACCCACACACATATACTTCCTCTTATGATAAAACTGTTAAGATTGTTGCTCTAAGGTTAGAAGATTACTGATAGCTGCTTCCAGAAGAGGCAAGATAAGAAATGGGGAAGGAGGCAGAGATGAGGTAGGGAATGAGAGGCAGCCCCAAAGGCACATCCTGGCACCAGGGGCTTCAAGTGATCCATAACTCTACCTGTGCCCAAAGACATACCGCCTGAACAGGGGCTACCTTTTCAAAACATGGTACCCAAAACCATAAGCTTGCTATGCTCTGATAGAAGGCTGGAGACTAGTGGCCTGACCTCCTGTCTTCCTCCTCACCTGCAAGAGTACCAATGCTGGGTGCTGTGAGAGGGCAACCTGGCAGGAGAGGGTTGGCCCAATTAGTACTCCTTCCCAGGCAGGGCCCACTCCCAGTAGGTCAGGGGAGGCTAACAAGCAACTCTGGGAACTAACATTTACTACTAAAGTTCACTGCATTGCCTCCCTGACAGTGCTGGGGGAAGGAGGCCAGAGGCTCTGACTAGAAATCCCAGCCTGAAGTGACCTGCCAGGCAGGGTATTTTCACCCTGTGCTCCCAGAGGTCCTGCAGCCAACATGGGTAGAGTGGAATGAGGCCTTTTTGCTCTCTTGGTCATTTTTCAGTCATCCAGCCCAATTTCTCATCTGCAGAACGGGAAGGCACAAATGGCTACTTCCTTCTACTTTTCCAGTTGGCCCTGACTGTCTCCCCCATACATTGGCTCCAGGCCTTGAGGATCACTGAGAGGAAGCAGCCAGGGCCAGGAGAGGAACAGGCCTGGTCTCCCTTTCAGTTCCGCTCAGGGCCCAAACCCCAGTCTGAGTGCCGAGATTAACCAGCAAAGCCGCTGGTTTCACTCTGACTGTAGGGCTCCTCCATGCCAGCTCCACCCCTAGCAGCTGAGGAACTGCTGAGCAGGCAGGCAGTGGTAAAAAGAGGATTCCCCTCCTCACCCACAGCCAACCCGGCTGCCACCCGCTGGCTGGCTGAGCAAGAGTCAGGTTCTTCCCTGACTCCCCGCCCCCCATCGGCCCTGTACATGTGAATCACCCTGGGCCATACTACAATCTAAACCCCAGCCTGCCAACTATCAAAGCAAGTATACCCACTGTGCTACCTGATAGCATGGGTGTCCTTAGGCCTATATGCCCAGGTGGGTGGGGCATGTGAACATATGGGGGCAGGACAATGCCAACTAGGCTGAAACCGCACCCTAGAGGACTTAGAAGCAGGGGCTAGTGTATGTGTAGGACCAGCAGATGTCTGTTGAGCTGGGCGTGGGGTGGGGAGATGTGAGGGAGAGGTGAGCCCAACCTTTGGGGCTGTGTCAGCAGCTATAGAATATTTGGGGACTTCAAGTTCCCCTTCTCACATACCTCTATTTCACCAGCTTCTAAGGGCAAGCCAATAAGCAGCTGCTCCCCAGACCCAACTTAGAGTCACACTGGGGTTAGGTGATCAAAATGGCCAAACCATTTCAAGTACCACCCACCACAACCTGCAGCATACTTCTGGGGAACAAATCAGCTCCCAGCTGCTTCCGTTTGTTGTGGCCACTGTGACTTTCTTTGATCTGGCCACCAGGAAGCTCAAGATGTATACCAGCTTTGACAACGTCCCAACAGTAGGGCTTGCATTTCTCCAGCTAGCGTTATCTCAGACTATATAGTTTTGTTACCCTCTAGGTTTTAGGGTTCAGTTCTGACCCTGCCAAACCTGGCCCTCCTCTATGCCTTTGCCACCTGTAAGACAAAAGCTTGCTTTTCAGAGGGTTGGTATAGCATCTGGGTGGACTAGTGCAAGTAAAAGACCTAATAAACAGCTGTTACATTCCCAGGCTTGTGAATAAGCCTGCTTGTGTCCACCACAGTATTAATAGCACAACAGCATAGTCTCAGAGTGGCCTGAGCACTGGGCACATGCCCACTTTCAGTCTTACTGACCCACTGTCCTTTTGTAACATGCTCTTAACATCCAACGCTGAAATTCACATACAATATAAATGTACTTACCAACCCTAACTACAATAAAGGGAAAGCAAATGTAATTTATATTAAAATAAAATATATTCATTGTGACTTTACAGACAGCACTAGGAACTACTCCAGAGCTTGAGTTTGCTATGAAAAGACCAAGAACATGAGGGAGCCAAAGGGCAGGGTAAGCCCTGCCTGGAAAACTAATCTGTTTAATGGACATGAAAACTGAGCAGAAAGTTCCATGTGCTTCTGCATAAGATAGAGCAGAATTCTCTCTCTAGGTTTGTCATCTCTTGTCCCTTTGGAGAGACAGTTGAAAGGAGGGCAGTATGCACAGCTATGCCTGAATCCACCAGTGCCACTATGTACAATTCTCCTCCCTTTCTCACACGTCAAGCATATGAGCCCACCTAGATGAAAGGACCTTCTCTGACTAGGCCTTACTTTCCCTCAGGCTGTGACCTAGAAACTCCATTTTGTAATCTGCTAATACTTCCCGTGTGCTACGGGACTGGGGGCCTGCCTTGGCACAAACATGCCCAAGCCAGGATGACCCTTCCAGAATCCACCCAGGTCTTGCGCTGTACCCCACTTTGTTCACAATTACCTTGTGTGGGATCTGTCACCATTCATTCTCCCCTGCACTTGACAGAGGGATTGGCCAAGGCTTTGTGGCTCTTCCAGCCTAGCAAAGGCTGAGATAGACAGGCTGGGCTGGGACAGCAGTAAGAAGCCACAGAGCCCTGGTGTTCTCCAGGCACAGGACTGGCACTGCCAATGCCCTGAGGTGGGGACGTCATACCATCACATCTCAGGCATGGCCTCCCACAGGAAGATGTGGGGAGGCTAGCACAGTATGCCCAGAAGTCATCGTGGGACCTTAAGGTTGTAGGAAGCAGCACCTTGGGCAGAAGCAAGTCTGCTACTTGTGCCTTCCTTCCCAGGAAACGAGGGAAGGGGAAGATGCTTTAGAGCAGGAACAGAGGGTGAGGACAGCATCCAGCTCACACCTGAGGGGTAAGTAAAGGCAGGCCAGGCCCTCACAATGGCCTTATTCCATGACAGCCGGTCAATGACTACCTTGAGGAGAGACATCCCACCCCCTGGAAGCCCCTAGTCTACACCAGCTTCCTGACAATCTTATCGACCTGAGGGCTTTTGAGCCCAGAACTGATCTCTTGCAAACAACAGCAGTGGGACAGGAAGTGGAACCTGGCCTCACAATCAGCCCTCCAGCCACACCTCTGCCGCACCCATGCTGTCAGGGAGGTGGCCTAGAGCCTAGATCTGCAGGTGCTCAGAGAAGTTCTAGCTCTCCCACTTGATACCTTTGAGACCTGGGACATGGAACTAATTGGAGCCTCAGTTTTCTCTCATAAAGATGGAGAGGCCAGGTGTGTTATGCCTGTAATCCTAGCTCTCTGAGAAGCTGAGGTGGGTGGATTGCTTGAGTTTAGGAATTTGAGACCAGCCTGAGCAAGAGCAAGAAGACCTTATCGCTACTAAAAAAAGAAAAATTAGCGAGATGTGGAGGTGTACACCTATAGTCCCAGCTACTCGGGATGCTGAGTAGGAGGATTGCTAGAGACCAGGAGTTTGAAGCTGCAGTGAGCTAGGATGACCCCACTACACTCCACCCCAGAGGACAGAGTGAGACTCTGCCTTTAAAAAAAAAAACATGGTGAGAGCAAGCAGGTCAGGTTACTACTGTACAGGGAGGATGAGAAGTGGTCTGAAAAGGCTCACAGCAAATTTCAGATCCTAGTCATGGATGGCTGAATCCCCCAGCCCAGCCCAAAGCATAAAATGGATGATACCTGGATGAATGAACATGTTATGGAAGTTAACCTAATCTTAGTGGTTGGTATCAAAAAGCCAACCTTTAAAGAAAAAAAAAAGATTTTTGTCAGGGTATAAGTGCCCAGAAAGAGCTGGGAGAGAGATAACTGCTTAAACACAGACCAGAGTCCTAGTTGTCACAAATTTGCCTGTTAACTTCCTGGCAGCCAATGCAAAATGGGATTCTCCAAAAGAGGACAGTTGTTTGTTCAAAGATAATCACATCGAACTGCAGCCCATTAATGGCTCTGAAAAGTCCTGCAGAAAAGAAATGCACATAACCATATACTCCCCAGACTCTGGCCTCTGTCACCAACCTTCGTACACCATCCCAAGGTAATAAGGAGGTTGAAGTGAGGAAGGCCTTCATCTTACATGGTTCCTCTCAGCCATTATGTAAGGTAGGCAGCATCAAGACTGAGCCAGGAGGTGGTAGCCACGTGGTATCTGTCCCAAAACCCCTCAGGTCAGCATAACCATCACACAGTGACCTCCCCACTTTGTGAGTTGGCACTCTCGGTTCTGAGCTTGAGTTCCAATTCTCTCCTATGGACAAGA